ACAGTGGAGGATTGGCGGGCGGTCATATTTTCTGATGAGTCCAAATTCAACATTTTGGGTTCTGATGGCCGGGAGTGGTGTTGGAGGAAGCCAGGGGAAGCTAATGACGCCAGATACACCAAAAAGAAGGTCAAGCACGGTGGCGGGAGTGTTATGGTGTGGGGGTGAATCACCCGGCATGGTGTCGGTGAACTCCACCGCATCGAGGGCATCATGGATCGCTTTGTTTACACCGATATCCTTTCCCAATCCCTCCTCAGCACTCTCGACAAGCACGATCTGGACCGCGCGACCATTTATTTCCAGCAGGACGGCGATCCGAAGCACACATCAGGTCACGCGATGGGTTGGCTTGATCTGGAAGGCATCGATGTCCTCCCCTGGTGCCCGAATTCACCCGATATGAACCCCATAGAGAATTTGTGGGATCACCTCGACCGCATGGTGCGTGCTCGCAATCCATTGCCGAAGAATCGGGAGGAGCTTTGGCTTGCTTTGAAGGAGGAGTGGGAAAACATTGATCCGGAGGTTATTGCAACGTTATACGACAGTATGCCCAACCGAGTCCGGGACTTGTTGAAGGGAAATGGTGGTTCGACTGACTATTAACACCTCGTAAGCTTTCTGCATTTTATTTGGTCGTCAAACGACTCTTCTGACTTGAATTCTGTCCGCTGCCTATAAACAGATTAATAATTGGATCACCCTTGCCTCGTAAATTCTACACACAAGCCCCAGTTCTTCACTTACAGTCTCGAGTTTTTACATGTGTTATCTACACTTATATGGCTACCCTTACAGAATTTTAGACCTACCTGAAATCGGCTGGGAGTCGCACAGAAATCCAATATTTTATATGTTGCACGTGATCCAATACTTTTTCCGAGTCAGTGTATGCAGCACTATGCAGCGGCGCCTTGGCACTATGCAGCACTATGAGAGTTATGGCAGCACAGGCTGGCATCCTTACCCCGCGCATGCGAGAGGGCTGTGGGCGACCCAAAATTGTCCCCCCAGTGTGCCGGGATCTCAATGTAGAATCGAGTTGAAATTCGAGAAGTACAGGGATCAAGTAAATGAATACCCCAGATTCAATTCCATTCTGGAGTTGACAGCATAACAGTGTGGTTGAATCGTGAGTTCTTTTTTCGTAGCACACAACCTTGCCTTATTTATATAGACAGGTCAGCGGGGATGACTATCAGTTGGGATATGAGTATGTTGGCGAACAGAAAATAAGCTCCAGGCGCCGCCCTTCAAGTCTTGCCTTGCATCCAAGTATGAAGTTCAGCATTGCCATTACCTCTCTTCTGGCTTCTGTTGTCTCCGCTGCGTCACTTCAGGCCCGTCAGTACAATGATGGCCAACTTTTGTCGCCCGCCGCTGGTGCCACTGTGACCTCTGGGTCTCAAGTTACCATCCAATACCGGGTCTATGACAGCATGTGAGTCGTAAACCGGAGTCACGAGCTTATCATCGACTCATCGGTGCATAGTGATGCTGGGACGCGATACATCCTAGTAGGGTTCGAGTATTCCCCGATGACGGTGACCACTATACGTATCCAGTTGGAAATCTGAGCTTGAGCAGCCCTGGATCGAGTGGGCTTACTATCAATAGCCCCGTTACCGCTCCTGGTATTGGCAGTAAGCATATTCTTTCAATGTGAACGAGAGAGTCACGGATTCAATTTTTTATCAGGCTATAATCTCGTGATTTACGACGTTCGTACGGCGGGTGCTGCCCAGACTCTCTACTCGCAGATGACCGTTAACCAAACCATTACGGTGGACTGAGCAGCGACATAGACATCTGAACTCATGTTGGAGTCGCTATTAAGTAGGCCTTTTTGTACGAAGAAATGAAATGGACGCTTGCATTCTGATAGTTATTATTTCAAACTTCTCGAGGCATACTCGATATTGTGGACGGGGAAAGTTGGTTCTTTCGTTATTGATAAGATTTGGATCGAAGGAAATCCCTGTTAGCTGTAAGAACCTTTGAGGATCGAGTTATTGCATAGAGAGTGAACAAAGGGCCATCCGGCCCCCCATTGGCGTCCAGTACGTGCAGCAGTGATGTCGTGCCCTTCATTAGTCACTATGCATCTTCTACGCCTACTAACCAAGTTAGCGGGGTGATTCGGTCTGAGTACAGTGTTCTACATTCATTCTTTCAGCCTGCACAATGGTTCAAGTTATTTCTATCTATCTTATGTGAGAACCTGGCCCAGGTCCTCGGATCAGATAGATAGGTGCGAGCCGATTCGCGTCCGGGGCTTCATTAAGCCCAGGTGAACACACTTGTATATGGAAGTTCCTTGTGACTGAGCATGAGAGACGAGGTACTTAATCTACGTAGAATAACCCATAGAATGGTCGCATGCACTCAACATGCAATAGGAATTTCCTGCTCGCGGGTCCCATGGGGCGCAGCGGAAACCGGACTCGCTGCTCGGCAACAGACTGCGTCGGGAGATAAAAATCAAATTTCTTTAGCCCATGCCCCGCGTCTGAGTCGAACACACCCCCGCCGACTAGAATTCATTGAAACCAGGTAAGCACAATTGTGGGTGCAAGTTCCTTAAATATGGCTGGGGGACAAGGGGGCTGCAGAAATCTCGTTCAATCTAGGTAGAATTTGGGATAGAAATGGCGTCCATTTCTCATATCCCATAGGGATATTCAGAGGTTGGAGAGGAGCGACTTAAACGCCTTCCACGAATATGGTGCACTTCACTTAGCCACCACCACAATGTGACTAGTCCCAAATCAGCTGAAGGCCATTTTTTTTTTACGTGTGCCTCTGTGGCCATCCGGAGCCGTTTTTTTGTACCTTGTAGACATACAAGAAGCTGTCTAACCACATTTCTCCATGCAAACTCTAAACTGCTGCTTTTATGTAGGCCTGGCTGAATTTGGAGTGGTTACATCCCAAGAAACTGGGCCAGGAGAGGGACCCAAGATACTCAATTACACATCCGGAAATGTGTTTCCCACAGTAAAAGTCCCATAGGTGTGTTATAGAGTGCGTCGCATAAGGGTTTGACCATTAGGTGGCGGGTTTAGTAGACAGTCCCAATTTGGCTCTTCAAAAAAATTTCAACTCCCTCAGTTTTTTTGCCAATGAAAATCTGTCTTGCCAAAAGTTTCTCCTCCTCAAACTGAGTGTTTTGGCAAGAGGATAGAAAATCTGCTTTTTCCTGATGGAGTAATAAGCCTTGTTACAAATTGGTGGTGGCTAAGTTAAGTGCACCATAGCTGAGTTGTGTCGATACCCTGCTTGACCTGCTACCAGGAGGTTAAGAGTGGTTCGGAGCCGTGGCCTAAAAAGCAGAGAGGAACCCATTATGCCCCGAGTCTGAGTCGAACAAACGATTCCTGCTGAACGCTTTCGTAACGACTGTGCATGCAGGTGCGGGCCTCTTCGCGTCCGGGGCGTTGGTCGGAGTGCTTGAGCTGTGTACCTTGCGATTACGAGTGGTTATTCCAAGACGATCGACCACTGTCCGAGAAAACCCGTCCCCGCGGGAGGTAGTCTGAACTCACCCAGCGACTACTTTGCCGAAACCTTAGTTCAACCAGAGAAATTGGTTTCAAATGCACCGTGTTCAATTCAAACTTCAAGCCGCGCGCGGAACCTCAACGGAACAAGACCGTTATAGCTCGTGCTCAGATCTATCACCGATACGCCGGCCAGAAAATCGATACCGCGGGCGGCCGCCGTGCGACAGGATAAAAAAATTGACCCAGTCGCCGCAGAACTCGGCCCGGATCGAACGGGCTACTTCCGCATCATGTCCAGTCCAATTCAACCTCAAATGCGGCGGATATGCTACTTTCACCACCGAGGTGCTGAGTACTTCGAACTGAACTGCGTGAGACGAGGTAGAATCGGGAAGGCGGTGGTAAATTGACGTTACAGAGCTTTCCCTGGTTCAAGTTCTTGATGAGTGCCAGTTCAAGGCGCGTCCCATACAGGTTGGATTACGCAGCGAGTATTCCGATTGAGCACACCGCAGAAAAAAGGTTGGTAATAAATGCCTTCGACGTGCCCCGAGTATGAGTCGAACAGACGACCCCGCCGAATCACCTTTGCACACGAACGGTGTGCGGGTGCGAGCCTCTTCGCATTCGGGACGCTGGTCGTAGTGCTTGAGCTGTGTAAGTCCCCTGCGATTACGCGTGGTTTCAAAGCTGATTGACCACCTCCCGAGGCATCCTGATCGTCGTGGAGGTGAACTCAGTTTAAATTCAATTAGCGAAAAAGGTTGGCACCTACCGTGCTCAATTGAAACTTAAAAGCCGCGCACGGGAGAACGAAAAATAGAACCGTCAAACCTCGTATAACTCGGGTCCAGGTGTGGCTGAACAAGCGAGACGAGTCAGGCTGCAGAAATCGCGCTCACTCTACGTAGACGCAGGCATACGAGTGGTGTGGAGCGCGCACATCCTATCGGGATTTTCAGAAGTTGGAGAGGAGCGACTGGTCGTAGTGCTTGAGTTGTGTAAGTACCTTGAGATTATAGGTGGTTCGAGAGTGATCAATCCAGTACTGTCCAAGAGATATCCCCTCGCCGCAGGATTCTGAGCAGAGAAACAGGCTTCGAGCCCGTGACACCGTGCTCAATTCAAAGCTCCCAAGTCGAGCGCGGGATATCAAAACAAAGGAAAAGGTCCAACCGATTAATCATCATAGCTCGCGCCCGGGTCGAACAGGCGACTTCCACATGATATATAAAGGTTTTGAGATATGCGGCGGATCTGTCGCATGTGATACTTTACCAAGTTGGTAAACATTTTGGGCTGCCCCGCGTCAGCAGAGCGATTGACATGGCTTCCGTATATTTAGCGTCATTCGTGGTGGCAGGGCTCCAACCCAGCAATACTCGGACATGATATTGCTTGATTAATGGAGGAACGGGCGCACAGGCTCCGTAGTACGCAGCGCAGGGCTCCGCGTGAGCAAGAGCCAAAACAGTACAATCGCTTGTATGAGAAGAACTCGGGCCCGGGTCGAACGGGCGACTTCCGCATAAGATCCGCGCCTTAGAAGCATAAAATTTGTTACTACAGTGAACGGCAGATGTGATGCCTTCACCACCGAGTTGTAGTGTACTCCAAGTTGAACTGGGTACTCTGAGTTGGAATTAGTGCGGGGGGAATAGAATTGATGCTATAGGAAGAGAGGATTCGGAGAAGATGAAAGCCGGAAAGTATGAGTTAATGTGCAGCAAGCCTCATTTGCGTGCGGAAGGAGCTGGTCTGTGTGCAGCACATGGTACAATGGACATCGCAGAGAAAAGGGTTGGCAAAATCCCGCGAGGAAATTTACATCCAAGCTTTGCAGCAGCTGGAGGACGGCCGCGTTCGGAGCAGTGGTCGTCTCGGGAGGTGGAGTATTGTGGGCCGTAGCAGGGGGGGAGGGAGTGCCCGCATGGTCGTTGTCAATGCCGCCCCAAGCGGAAGGAGTCGGCGTCCGCGCCGCCCACTCGCCGCGCTCCCTGCAGGTGAAGGGGGGAATACACAGGGAGGATAACCAGATAACCCAGGCCAAAAATAGGGAAAAGATATTGGAAAAGTATTTACAATAACTTTTGCATAACTCGGCCTTGGTATTATTCAAAATACACTGAAGGCATTCAGAAGATATTCTTAGATTAGAATATCTTTCTAGTGTCTTTTGAATGCTTTCTCTGCCCTGGCCCACAGATATGCAGAAGTTATTGTGAGTACTTTCTGCGTATCTTTCCAGTATTCCAGCTCGGATTATTTGGTTATCCTTCCTGTGATAGTCGGGTTTCGCTATGATAACGGCCTTATTGGCCTCCATGTACATTTTAAGTCGTGCTTTGAGGGCGTCCGTACTGCCCGCGGTGTCGAAGCCGAAGGTCGCTGCCGCAGATAGCAGCTGCCAGTGGGCCTTTGTGAGGCTCGAGACGGTCTTGGTGAAAGTGGGCATTGAAGGAAACCGATAGAAAGAAAATGAGTGTTCTGGGATGTTGCTGGAAAAACGAGGATGACGGTTTGCCGGCTATCGGTGGTGGTGGTCGGTGGAAGAAAAGAGCGCACCGCCACCCGTCACTCCTGTCACAAGACGTTACACTAACTCAGGCTCGTTAGTGTCGCGCTGAACAGGTTGTCCCGCCGCCCTCTGCCCGTCGCACCGCCGTACCGCGTCCCGCTGCATCTTTGCCTGCCTGCCGCTCGTTCCGTAGCGCCCAGCTTTCATCAGCGGGCGCTTTCCTGCTCGTCGCCTCTGCACCGTCCTCCAAACCTTGCGCAAGCCTCCCTCTTCTTCCCCTTCCCTATTCCCCTTCTGTTATCCCCTGCTGCAGTTTTTCATCTAATGTCAATCTCTACGCTGCGGTAGGTCCCACGCACCTCGCCCACACTTCCGGCCAACCTCACGTCGGATCGCGGCCGTCTCTGGATGGGCTAAACCGAGTCGAAGATGCGCAATCGAATGCTCCCGCGTAGAAAACCCACCAACGTCTGGTTCCTCCTCGTATTAGTGGCACGCCTGCTCTTTCGTCCTTACGCTCGTCTCTACCCTCACTCCGGCCGCTTCCAGCGGCGTCGTGACCATGCGCCGATGCGGCGGACCGCTCGATGCTCCTCTTTCGAAATGACAATCCAGCCGACCGTCCATAGGTGCGTCAGCAATGCGTTTCACCCGGTCCCGCGGCTCCGATTCGGTCCAATATCCTAGCCCCCTGCCACCCACTTACGCCACGATTCACGCCACATCGTGTCCAGACGCGCCGCGTCCGTTCCAGCAGCCAGGGAGATCTGCGGGGGTCCATTTGGAGACACTGCTGGCTTTTTGGCTCGCGGACATGGTTCGCGTGACGGAATCCCGCCGCGTCTTGCATTTCGACGTCTATCAATGCCGCGGGTCCTGTGCACGATGAGACTGCCATTATCGCGCTCGTGCTAAATTAAGCTCTCGCGCTGCGCTCCCTCCTTCTGCTCGCCCTACGTGCGTTTGACTTCTTATCACGCAACGCTACACCACCTTTACGCGTCCGCGTCTGACTTCTGTTCTCGCGATGGCCCCCCAACGGTGCCCCCGGTGCTTCCAGCGGCGTCGTAATTGATCGCCGACGCGGCGCAACCGTTCCCTACAACGCTGCATGTCTGGCCACCACGTCGCGCGCTCACCGCCTTAAAGCACAAGCAATTCTCGGGCCGCCCGAATTCTCGGTGGACGTCGCGTCTTACATCACCCAATGTTTTTCATTTTCCCTATCGCTGAATCTAGGTGCGTGTTGCTCCCGGGATATCAGAAAGCCATCTGAGACTCCCAATAGATGAGCACGGTCTCTGTCGGTGTACCAGCCTCCTGATAAGGTCCAGACACGCCTCCAAGTCAACGCGCCCGGTTCGTTCAACTCTCATTCAGCTCTCGTTTCCACGCGTCTTCTACTTTCCCGCCCTACGCCCGCGACTCGGCGTTATACCAGGTACACACACGATTCAAAAATACCTTGATTTCTGTGGGCACAGTATACGCTACTCGGCATTGAGCCTTCGATAGGTGAGACCATGGTTGAAATTCTGTCGCTGTACGCATTCTCGATGCCTCCATTAATTATGTATTAACCGCATTTCATGTCTTTCATCTTAGCCCCGTACACTGGACCGTGTAAATCCGTCTTGTATTAGTTCCCCTCATTTAAGCCTGAAGTTTTCCGCCCGTACAGTCACTCTAACTACAACGGCGATTCCTGCGTCACTCAAGATCCGTGCTTTCAATCGGATTTACAAAGCTACATTCTCTACCCTGGGGTGACTGCAGGTGATATCTGTGCCGAGATCCAAAATTGTTTCGCCTCTGCGTCTCTTATCCTGTTCGGACACCGGGTGGTGTTGGTTGCCGGGCCAGGTGTGCGTCTCGTCTTGGTGATTATCGGTCCGAAGCTAATGGCGTCTTTGCCCAGCTCCTAGCCTCGGGCAGTGCACTCTCTCGAACCCCGCTCTTTGACCTGCGGAGGTCAGTTTCTGCCTGCATTGTGCCAACTTTGCAGCAGCAGCGGCGTTGCCGCCGGTTACTATACCTCCGACTTCAGTTCATGTCCTTTGACACGCCACCCTGTCGCAAATTCGGGCACCGGAAGTCTCTCTGAGCCTGCGGCTCATCCCCCCCTCCGATGCGCTCCCCGCTGGGGAGGCATCTGTGGGCCCGGTGCGGTTCCAATCTCGTCTTCATGCGCATCTTCATTGATTGAATACATGTTCCTCCTTTCACGAGCGCAATTCTTTCGCCTCATCTCCCTCTGCGAGCGCGCGCACTGATTTATCCCTTCTCCGCGTGCTCGAGCTTTCTCTAGCGGATGGCGGCGCATAATCTATCTGCTCCACGCGTCAGAGCTCGATCGGGGCGTGCTTTCGCCTGCGGGCAGTAGGTGTAGTAAAACCCGCTACGCTGCCCGTCGATCCTGATCTCTTGAAGTCTCTAAGATCGCTGCGCGTCCCGGGTGCGCCAGCAATGCGTCGCACTCCCGCGGCTTCGCACTCTCCCTAAGCTGGATTGCCGCCGCGGTCACCATGGCGACGCGGCGTAGGCAGGTGTGTTATCGTCGGATTTGGCCCTTATTGGTGCTGATGCAAGATTCGCCCCGACGCGAGTCCCATCGGTTTATCCATCAAGCGAGACTAGCCAAAAACTTGAATACGCCACGCACCGCACCTATGTTCGAAGTCGAAATGGCCGACAACTCAGGGGATATCCGCGTCGAAGATCTGTGTTTCTCCAACGACACTCGCAGCAAACCGGCTTTTCCGCGTTTCTACAGCGCTCCTCGCCGCCCGATCCACCGTTCGGGTTACCTAACCCTAACCCGTCTTCCAGGACACGGTCGCTTTCCCGCAGCTGGCCAGCGGTGACAATGCCACTGACACCGAGCTAATCGATGGTAGTTTTGCAGTGACGCTCCACGACGCCGCGGTTGATGTAGAGTGCCTCCTCAAGAGTATCTTCGACTCCTAGCGTTAGCGACGCCTAGTCTTCGCTGCTCCACGCGAGAATCCACAGGCCAGTTCTCCTCCCGTTAATCATCCCGCCTCCGGCTAATCATTGCGCCTCCCGTGCCGTGGTGTGTAAACTACGGCACTTGCGGCGGTCTTCATCCTTCTATGCATCTCTTGGGACAGTTCACCTACGCTCTGCGCTTTTTTATGCGCAAGCCGTCTTGGTGCTCACGCGGATAGAACCCGCGGTATTGGGACGCCAACTCACTGAGCAACGCCGCTGTTTCCGAACGACCATCTCTTCCGACGACCACCATTTCAGTGAGATCTGGCGCCGGTGACCTGGGGCAATCAGCCCTGTATTCACCACCGACTCGCGCACCTCACGCGGCGACTCCTGACTCCCTGGCAGCGCTCAGGGTGCTCGACCATCTTTCTGATGGCTTGCGGCTTGTCTCTTCTACGAACCGTTCAATGTTAGGAGTGCCGAGTCCCCCGCCCTTCACACAATCTTTTTGGCCCCTACTCTCCCGCGCCGGTGCTAACTCAGCGATGCTGCACCACGCCTGGTCAGGCTGTCTCGTTTTCAGGCGACGCCTACCATACCTATCTAGTCGGGATCTTCTATTGCCCCGCTTCAGCTCGCGTGCGATGTATCGCTCCAAATCTTCCCCACGCATATTCAACCCGCAATCGCTCCTTTCACATTCATCTGGTTCACATGTAGGTAACAATGTACACTATCAATCCAGTCTCGTCACATTCCGAGCGATCACATGGCCTCGGATATGCACCTCCCGACGTTCTACCGGAAGATCTGGCGCGTAGATGCCGTTTGGCTGACCGCCGTGGGGGTCCTCCAACACATCGAAGCAGTCCCCTACTTCATTCTCCCTGGAAAATTCACCTTGGTTGCACCCAATGGATCCGACCCCCAAGACGTGATTAAAAATATTTCGAGATTTGGAGGGCACATAGTACCTCCTAACCCCCACATCCTCCCTCAATAACCTAGCCAATAGTAGTGATTCCGCAGTGAACCCCACAAAGTAGGAACTTCCGGGCATATCCGGAAAAAAATAGTCAAGACTAACTGCTGGAGGGGCCGAGGGTTTCCTCGATGATCTCGATCCCGAG